AGTCTATTTTCACAAAACTGAACGATTATAACGCCTCTATAGGCGTGAACGCGATAATATATCACGATTACGTTTATCCTCACCCCTCTGGAAAAGATGTGTTAACTAAACCTTATTTTCTACCACAAGTTCACTCATCTTCTCTTGCACTCCGCCAGACCAATAACTAAATATACAGCTGCCATCAGTTACAATCTCAGAAATCATGACAACCTAGTTGCTATAGAGAATTGTAAGACTTCCTTGAGGTACAACTTCTTAAATAAGTCTTCAGTCATTTGGAATAGACTACCAGCTAATATGCGTGATGCAAACTCACTTTCAGTGTTCACCAGTCACCAGACTGCTCAAAGATGACGGCGCTCTCCTCCGTCTATCTCCTACACATTCCTTTTCACCCCACATAGATATGCTTGGTTCATCGAATGTGTGGGTAACAATAAACTTCGTCAATAGATGCTAATATTATCGGAGGAACATGGTAAATATTTCTAGACAGGGATAAATATTGGCTCATACAAGTGATATAGAAATTAGCATAAGTGAACTAGTTAGTCTGTGTATCAACAGGAACCAGGGCTTATGTGCGAAGTATTTATATATAAGCTTGCAGATCGCTTCTTATGAACTTTTTCTTCCCCCTGTTCTGCTGTCCCTTGTTTGCTTTTTTCATTATTTCAGCCTGTACTTGATTTTCAGCATGGTGAAAGGGAATGTAGATATTCGTCGACTTGTGGTAACAGTCTAAATAGATCTGAAAAAATCACTTGCCCCAAATACTACGACTACCTGGCGAAATATCCATTACTGTCGAATAAATTATAATCATATTTCAGTAGTTGACATACGATGAAAAGTTTTGCTTATGAAGCTTTTGTTGTTTGGTAATATTTCAGGCAAAGTTACTGGCCGTGATCACACCAACTGTTGGAATGGTTTTGCATAAACTGTTGAAATATAATTATAATTTATTTCTTCTATTCCACAATGCTCAAACTTTTTACTGACATTAACCCATTACTCTCTTCTGCGATGCATCCTGGATGACACTTGTGGAATATTACCGTTATTACAATAATTAAATTCCAGTCACTATCTATACTGGTAATTTAGTAGGTAGTGAAAATGTCCTGGCGGTTGTATTATTTTGATTATTTTGATTACAGCTTGATGCCACACCGTATTTTCAGTACAAGTATGGAATTTTCAGCATGGATATCCGTAGCCCAAATTTTGCAGGCCGACCGTAGATATCGGGTGTGCGTCGGCAGGGGATCGAACCCCGGACCATGTGCATGGTTGGCGAGAGCCTTAACCACTGTGGCAGCGACGCACAGTTAATAGTCTCACTGAATCGTGTGATGACAATTTCCAGCAGATGCATACCCCTTTTTTCATTTCATATTGATTGCTTCTCCCTTGTTCTTATTTCCAGCCACTTGGTGACTGAAAATTACCTATTGTTGTATAAATGCTTCTCTGTACGTCTAACTGGGCACTTACTGAAGTGGAGAGTTTCGGGCATTTAATATTGCTGAAATATTGTTATCGGTAAACTAAAGTTTCACAGAACGATTTTGTCACTTTATGAATACACTACCTAACCCATAGTAAAAAGCAAGCGGCAGACACACAGGCACTGAAAACAGAACACGAGACATGCAGGGGAACGTTTATTCCACGAAATCAACTTTAAAAAGTACGGGAGTCCAGTCTCATAGTCTAACAGTTTTACTGGTCTTCGTTAAAGTTTAGGTTCTGAGATTCTTGTATCTCCTGGTCCAGATAACTGACTCTCGACTGTCTTACTGCAAGTAAAGAAAATAAAACATTGATTAGTATTTATGGGCTGGACTTATCCGGCATGTTGGTTGAAATTTCGCTCGGCAAATTTGTTTTGTCAATAGTTTTTAATAAAATTTTGTTGTATGTTTTCTAGATTGATAGGAATTCTCATTTCCTGGCTAGTTGTGTTGGTGTCTGCGTCATTTAATCTGACTGCGACACACTTAGCATATTGGTTGTATTGATTAGTGTTTCATGCTGAATGCGTCAAAACATCTCTACAATGAAGAAGATGGGGTAGTTGGGGGGTAATGTTATCTACACAAATAGTTTATTTCTTGTAGAAGCTGCAGCTTTCGACATAGTGTCATTCAATGAAGACTACGTCAAAATGTGGCTATTTTCTTGTGAAGAACAGTACTATTTTACAAAATAATGCTATCAGTACATGGGAATCACCTGTAAATGCCAACAGAACATAAAACCAATGTGTAAACGAACGGCTATGGAACTGCAATCCAACATAACCGACTAACATGGACGAAAATGACCTTTGAGCGTCTCACTCCATCAATGACCTTGAGCATGCGGTATAATTTCAGCCGTATTTATGATATACGTTTTGTTTTTATTACACCATTACCAATAACGCAATCCTCAAACAACGCGTATTTTGGTTAAATTTCTTCAATGGTAATGCTTAATATTATACTGTGCACATGCCTTTACCTATGCAAAGTGACTCTGTAGATGTTATTCCATTACCTTGTCTTATACATACCTTGCGAAGTTGAATAATTGTAAATATGCTTACTCCATGTACATATTATTTACCATATTGATGATGCTTGTAAACTGGCGTCCCTGAAGTACAAAAACCGAGAATATATTACCATTCCCTCGGACGTCAGAGAAATTCTAAAATACTAGTGGGCTTCGGCCCTTTCTCCCCAAACTGTCAGTTTGTATATCTGTGCTGATGGGGGCACACCGAAAACAACTGAATCTTCAGAGGGATCAGAGGGCGTTGACTACTCTGTACTGGACTGGTGTTTTCTTGTGAAATCTGTACAATTCTTCACCTGAATACATCCTAGAGCGGATTTAGGCCTTACGCTCACCCTTCATTGGTTACTTGAGGAGGCCTGACAACTAGAATGGAATAGTCTGGACCGGGAAATTGGCCGGTCGAGTAAATAAAGATCTTCGTAGGTAACATTTTTGCGTTTATTCCAGGATCCAATATCCAATATCGTTTTTACGAGCTAGTATAAACCAATTTGATTTCTTTGTGCTCGCCTCTTGATTGTGAGGTAGAGGTTCCTGATCTTTGGTTTATTCCAGGATAGATGTCTTTCGAGTACCATTATTATCCATTCTCTGCCTCCCTGGTACGAATTGGAGGATCAGTGGTGAATTATCAGTGCACCCCTTTCCATAGTCGATTCCATATGGCTTAACGACTGTACACAAATTTCGTTTTCTCTTCACGTGATCACCTTTATGTCATACTTGGACTCGCAAACCACCGCCCCTCGTCTGGCTTCCACTTATCGCGCTGGGTTGCGGTGCCACTCAATGGTTTTCGCAGCGTATGCTCAGTCCATCTCCATTTCCTTTTGCGTTTTTGTTGTCCAATAGGTCTTTCGTTGACTCGCTGCCTGCCAGAGTCCCTTATTGCTGATAGTTTCTGGCTGCCCATTTGACCTCCTATGTTGAGCCAGTGAAGGAGACATGAACTGATGAAAATGAAAAGGTGGTGCTCTTGATTAACTACACTTTATTACCAACCTTGATAAACGTAAAATCCCTAACTGCCCAGTAAAGAGCATTCTACGTGACTTGCGAATACTGATGACAAAACGCAAAACCAAAGGATTCAGTTACCTAGGAGTGTGCTCTGGTTAACATCATACTTGAAAAGAATGAAAAGTTAACGCTATTTAAGGTGGAGGTTTTAGAAGTGATCTAGCCAGAATGGTGGAACTACGGTTTCAGAGTCTTTGCGTCTTAACGGCACAAGGAAGGAAATAAAAATGGAGCTCTAGTCTATCTTGACATGGAGCAGTTAAAATAAACCCTAAAACACTTGTAGAGTCCGTTAGCAGACAAGTCTTTTGTTTAGTTAATATCACCCCGGTTCAGCTTAGTATATTAATCTTCGGTGTGAGCTTATTTTGGTGCTGTGGAGGGTGAAGAATCATGCAGTGGCGCGCTAGCGATGTCTCTTGATCAAATGAACGCATTGACTTGTGGTGAATGTTGTAGGTCTCCATACTGATTTCAGAGTAATGACCGCTTATCTTTCATTCCTTATCCTGGTTACTCATCAGCATCGATATAGAAAATACTGGTGAAAACATATTTCACTATTTCAACCCAGTAAGGTTTGAAGCAGTATTCTTCTTAGGATACCCAGTGGATTTCTGTAAACTGTTACCTACCAGTTCTTTTTTTACAAATGATTGTCTATAGATTGCTCTAATTTGTTTGTGAACATTCAAAGTGAATCCTTTAGATTATGGATGATTATGAGAAATCCACGGAAGGGTGCAATATGACATTCCTGAGGGTAATCCCGACACAAGTGCTAGTATAGTGGTTGCAACGAAGTTAGGGCCAACTCTACTTCCACTAAGCTTTGCCGCCTATGGAATCCACTGTCTACCAGACCATCACGCAAAAGTAATAGGTTTACATGCATCTGTAGGAGCAGTAGGCTGGTTCTAGAGGGCTATGAATACTCCTTTTTAACTTGAATTGGTATTCATTTCACAATTTTACCATAGTTTTTATGGTCATGTTCTATTCTTTTCTGTTTCTGTTACGTGTGCTTCGATTCCCTATTGTATTAAGTGTTTTATGTTGTCCGGGAATCAGCCAGGTACTTGGAACAGCTATGAAACAATAAGTATCTTTCCGTTGGTTTAGCGCTTCCAGAACATTATTAATCTAATATTTCACCTTCTAAGTATCTATATACCACTGTACTCCATTAACCTTGTATATTTCATTTAATTGCTAAATGTACCTGGATTTTATGCGAAGGTTGAAACATCTCGATTTGCCCTGCTTTTAATTCCGCTTCAGGATCCTCGCAGGATTTCAGGGTGATATGAGAGAGAGTGAGAGGTTTACTGACTAAACAGAAATGTGACAACATTTAGTATAGCGCCAAAGGCTGAGAGCGCGTTGTTTGTAGGGAGCGCTACGAGATGGTTGTGTCAGCATTATATATTTTAGACAACAAAGGGAAGGTTCTTATTCATAGAAATTATCGTGGTGATGTTGAAACTGGTGCCATTGAAAAGTTTATGCCCATTGCAATGGAAAAAGAGGAGGAGGGTAGTCTCATTCCAGTCCTACAGTTGGGTGAAATAACATTCACCTACGTTAAATATAACTACCTATATTTGGTATGCTTAACGCGTAAAAATGCCAACATTGCAATGGTCCTGGCGTTTCTGTACAAACTTGTCAATGTAAGTCTCAAGGTTTTCCCAACGATACCATAGATATTTCTTGAATATTTCGGAGAGTTTGAAGAGGAAAGTATTCGTGATAACTTTGTTATTACCTACGAATTACTGGATGAAATCATGGATTTTGGATATCCGCAGACAACTGACACAAAAATCCTTCAAGAATACATTACTCAAGAAAGCCACAAACTGGAAGTCGCTCCACGTCCACCAGTCGCTGTAACTAATGCCGTATCTTGGCGTTCCGAAAATGTTAAATATAGAAAAAATGAAGTGTTCTTAGACGTTGTAGAATCCGTAAACTTGTTGGTAGGTGTTAATTAAATTCGTTTTTGAATTTTTAGGTGAGCTCTAGTGGTAACGTTTTACGAAGTGAAATAGTTGGGAGCATAAAACTTCGCGTTTACCTCTCTGGAATGCCTGAACTCCGCCTAGGAGTAAATGATAAAGTTAGATTTGAAAACATTGGGCGTAAGTGGTTGAAATTATAACTAATTAATTTTCCTGGTGAAGGCGATAAGGGTAAAGCTGTCGAACTGGAAGATGTAAAATTCCACCAATGTGTCAGATTGTCAAGATTCGAAAATGATAGGACAATTTCATTCATTCCTCCTGATGGTGAATTCGAGCTGATGTCATATCGACTAAATACTCATGTAAGTGAATTGCTTATTTTGTCAGTATGTTCTTGTTCGTACTCTGTGCATACATTATTTGGTAATACGCTTTCATACCTCATTTTTCTCAGAGGCGAATTCTTTATGTACTAGTGTTTAATTTCGTGTCGCACATCCAGTAACGCTTCACACTATTCCTAATTGTCATCTTTCTTACTGAAAAAGGAGGCTAATGCTCCATTTTCTAAGATTTGATGCTAAACTACGAAAAATTAATTTCAGAAGGAGCAGATCGACTGAGGCGTTTGAACAAGCCGTGATAAGGATTTTCACTACAAATCTGCTTTTTGGGTATTTACGGGACTACTTCAGCCTTGTTGCTCACTGACTTTTAAAAACCTTTTTAAAAGGCCATTTATTCCTGCTATTATCACTGGATAGTTAAAGGTGTAAGGGGTAGACTCCCGCGGTAAAATTTAAAATGATTGAAAATATTCACTAATAATAAATAGTCAGGGTATTTTTATAATTTAGTTTGGTCCCGGTTACGATGCCGAAAACAGCTAAATGAATACTATTTTCTGACTAAATAGGTAACAGGAAGTGTGACATAAGCTTCGATGATTCTGTATAACTTACAATTCGTCCATATTTATATCCATTGGCATCTCACAGTTTTATCTGCAGTTCAATTCGATGCTTGTCTGTTGTTTTTCTTTCATACTGAAAAATAGACTTGTGAATCAGGGATAAAATCTAGGTAACAAACGTTTCTTTGAAAGACGAACAAGTTGGACAGACACACTATTTTCCTTTTTTTCCCCGTGGCATTCTGGTTCTTCTGTGTTATTCACTTTATTTTGCCTAACATATTCTTCAATTCCAGCCAACCATTTTCTGCTGTCAACAAACTACGCTGTTTGGTTTCCGAACCTTACAAGCATTTGCTAGTTTCACTGGATGTTCTTATTTCACATATGAATTTATGTGGAGATGTGGCTCACTGCCATTACCAATTGATTTTGGGCTAGATAACGTGGTTCGAGTCCCTCTACACCTACTTCAGTCTGATTGACTGAGTAGTGTAGTTAGCCCCTTACATGATATATATGACTCATAATCTGTTATGTGGGAAATATTTCCCATTAAAATGCGTTATAATTAAGTAACTTTTTCGCCCATGTATACTGGTATTTATTGTGGGGAATAAATAATACTTTTAAAAAGCTGTTTTTAAGCAGTTAGGATTTGTCCCACCCTATACTTTTGATTCATCTGGATAGAGGTGGTTTATCTCTGTTAGCATATGGGTTTCTACAGCAGATGCCTTTGTATTTACCCGAATATCATTTTAATGTCATTTCTTTGGTGGCTAGTAGTCAGGTGTAGAAGTAACCTGTTCTGCCTTTTAAGTCATCAGGGGATGAATAATGATGACACCTTGCATCTTTTCTATAACTCTGTCTTTTTACAGCACTCCTCACCTTTAGAGGATTTAAAAATATTGGTCACTGCTCTATATTTTGCGTAAATTTTCTCTCAATACTCTTTACTGGAGCTGAAGAGAATTCCTGGTTCATGATAATAAACTGACTTTTGCTAATGATAACAAAGTCCCTATATCTTATGTCGTTTCCGGTCTATTTCATTGTATACTGTATGCGTTAGGGGTATTCTCGATCGGTGAAGGCATGACCTTACTTTTCTACCATCTCCACCAGGCTTTGGCATGCGAATTTTCCAGCTGGAACTATAAATATTCTTTGTCAAACTTTTTGTTCAAATTGTTTGCGTAACAGCAAGAGGTAGTGAATCAACAGGAAATCTAAGTGTCAATTTCATACTTGTTAGCATTTATTTGAAAGGCTTATTGTATTATCTGTAAGCTTGTAGGAACTCATATCTCCTTTGTGATTAGAACCTGCACTACTCAGTATAGGAGTAAGAAACTCTACTACTGAGTTGTTTAATTGAAGACTGACCATGATTACTATATATATGTGATCTGTCAATGAGTGCCAGAAAGCTCGAAACCCTTGTCCAGGGTTTCTACCGTTACCTTAGATTTTCTTCAACTCTTCCAATAACTTGGTATGTAATTCACATATTCATTCATTTTTTTGTCTTATTTCGTCTTATTTCTTCCGTTCAAATTCCTAACTTTTTAAATGTACTTGATAAATATTCTAAATCTCTGACTCTTTCTTTTTTACAATGACTTGTAATTTTTCTAAATTTTTAATGGCAATCATTTCTGAGCGATGGTCATCACTTATCGTCTTTCTAAATCAGGCGATTCATTATTTTGCATGATATGTAAGTTTATATTTGTTTTGTTACCAACTGATGTGAATAGTTGACGCGCTATAGGGCAGTTCTCTGACCTTTTACAATACTATATAGCACTGTACATCTTTGAAGTGAAGTTACGAGAAGAATATTCTTTACTGATGTATATCTTGTTTTTTTCCTTATCGATCAGGTTTTCTATACATTTAATATACGATTACATCACTTAGCATATGACATATCGTCTAACCTAATGGTCATATTTGCGCACGTGGTCGATAGTTTTCTTTGAACTTTTGTGATTATACATTTAGAATGTTTTTAAGAATTCTACGACCACTTCTCAAGCAGTAGAACTTTGTCTGATTGGTAGCCAAACTAGATATCATGATGGATAAAAAATATTCTTATTCTACAACTCTACAATCGCATTGTGTTTCCCCATTTTCATTTGTAAATAATCATACAATTACTCTTCACGATATCTGATTAATATCAAGTGGTGGAAAAAGACCGTGAAATGCTGGAACTGATGACGGAATACACGTATGTATGCTAACTATTGCCAGATCGCGACTATATATGGCAGTATGGGAGATTTATACTTCTGAATTTATATAGTAGTTATTGAATGTTTCGTTAAGTAAAGTGTTTCAGGATTTCATCATGAGCTGATAACGGTTAGAGAGAACCATTGGAAAACCTACAGGGAGTACTGGACTACCAGGTGTTTCGTCTGCCTAATTTGGGACTCTTCATTAGTACGCACCCACCAACCCCAGTAGGGTTCGAACCCCGGACCTTCTGGTTACAAGGCGAGCTAGCTCGTAGACCATTAAGTCACTGGAGCGTAATCTAATGACCAGTCTTTGGATTCCAACTTCTACTAATTCACGACATAGGGTGACTGCTAGCCAATGTCTTTGTTGAGTATTTGTCCTCTCACACGACCTGTTGCACGCTACTGGTCACGACGTTCCACTTGGCATAGCAATAAAATGCCTTGCGTGAAAAACAGAATCAGAATCACGATGAAAAAACTTTTTGTCAAGAAATTCTAACTTTTATGTATTTACCTGTTTTTAAATTTACCGTAAAATGTTGACTAGCTGACTGGATCGAAGTTCAGAACTTTACGTAGAAGTACAACAGTGCAAGTTGACATACTTCACGTAGGACACAGATGTCGAGAAAAGAAAAAGGGTAAAGCATGAGAGAATTTAATCGATCCTGGAGATCATAAAGATTGAACTCATTTGCGCTATTAGAAACAATTTTGAATCGTATCACCTTTTTTCAGCTATTGGTTCTTAGTATCCCGAAGACTTCAACCAAGGTATTCTACACCTTCCTATATGGCTCCACCCAGGTGTTAAAGACTTCATGAATTGGATTGGTGGCAGATTTTGGTCTAGCAAACGCCAACTCTTTTCCAACCTATGTCAATTAACATTCATTGGCTTGGCATGCGCAACACACGTGTCCTAGTCATCTCAGCCGGCATGGTTTCACAACCTCATTGACTGACTTTCCCACCTTATCTAACATTCTACTCGTAACCTCACTGTTGTTCACCATAAAACCCCGTATCATGGGTCAATAGAGCAAAGACGATTAGCTTCTTCAGGTCTTTCATTTTCAATGACCATGTTCCTTAGCCATAAAGAATTATAAAATATGTCTAAAGGATTTTAAGGGTTCATCAGAAGTTGCAAATATATATCAAGGGTCATAACACTTGTACTTATCTCATAGTTATGTTAAAAAGCATGAATAAGGCGGTATATATCAAGTTGAAAGCGTTGACCTAAAAGTGAGCATATCAGTTATAATTTCTAACGAATAAAACATTAGTGCGACAGTTTTTTTTATATCTTTTATGCTTTATTCTATAGTGTCAGCGTTTTCACTTTCTATTCCTCTTATATGCAATTGTACTCCTTCTTTTTCATGCTACTATTATGTGTCTATGTATTTTTTATGCACTCATGCGAATCAGGTTAAACCTCTTATTTGGGTAGAAGCAATTATCGAGAAACACGCTCACAGTCGTATGGAGTATATGGTTAAGGTAAGTTACTTTCTGTAATGTTTTTCTATTTGTCAGTGACTAATTGTCTTAGTCCAAAGTCCTTGTTATTATGAAAAAAAATCTTTTATTTTCCAGTATAATCCTAAGCAAAGAAAACAGCTTGTGTTGTTGTGTTGACAATTAGTTTCGGTTGTAAATCATCCAAGGCATAAATTCAACTTGCAGTTGTAGTTTTAGTGAGTTTGTCAGTAAAAAAACTGTATATTGCTTGTTTGTCAATCAATATAAAGCCCTGCGTCAACTCAACCCCATAGAAAATCGTCTGTTAGGTGTGATGATTTATTTCTAACCGCTAACACTATATTAGTTGCATGGAAATACTAAATTTTTTTAAGTAAGAGCTTTCAAGGTGTGTTGTTAAAATAACAGATAATTGATTAAATGACATTTATGGTTACTTGCAGTTTTTATGATTACGGATATGTAGCAGTGGTTGAATAGTTTAACGAGATCACCTTGTAACCTGAGAGACCTGGGTTGGATCTCCTAAGGAGTCGTCATGGGTACGTAGTGCTTAGGAGTCCCAACTAGGACTGTTCAGTACTTCCTAGCTTTTTCACATCGGTAGCCCAACAGTAGAATGCACCCGCTAGCTATGCGGGTTCGCATCCCGGACGATGCACTCTTGAATCCCGCCTAGTTTACTAGAGAGTAGTAAGACCGGAGAAGAGGGGGGAAGGTAGGTTGAGCATGAGGGTAGCAACCCCCACCGGTGGCACTGGAACTTTAAAAGCTTTAAGCTCTCTATCACATTCGGTAGAACACAAAGAATGAAGGTAAGAAATTTTTATTACCGTATGCCATACTCAATCATCAATCAGGAGAGATAAATGTTATTACCCAGCAGTTTCTTTCCTTTTACAATCGACTGAAGATGGAAGAAATGCGGGAGAATTTAAGTTCTTTTATTTTAGGATGTGTTATAGAATTTCGCGTGTATTCTGAAACCATAGACTGAGTAATTTTCACATTTCCTTTCGATATTTTACTTCTGACTAACTGACTGGATTCAACGTAGAAATATGCACAGAAGTGCAGCAATTCGAGTCGCCACACTCTATGCACCACACAAAGCAAGTGAAGAGAGACGATAAACAGAAGTGTGAGGGAAAAGGGATAATAATATGGAAGAATAACAGAGTTTTATTGGATATTATAAATCATAAAGAGTGAATGCATCTGCGCCAGCCATTAAAAACGGTTTTAAGCCATACCACCAATTGTCTCCAGCCTTCATTGGTTCTTACCATCCTGAGGATGCCAACCAGTCAGGAAGTCTACATCTTATCTGACTTAAACGAACTGTTATGGATTTGTTTCATTGACTAATGAAGTCATGTTTTGGTTTGACCACCGCTAGCTCTTTTCCAACCTGATCCATCCTATATCAGCTAACATTGCCCATCGAGGAAAGTGATGGCTGGGCATGCATGATACACGTCTTAACCATTTCAATCCATGTAACTTCACAAACTAATCGATTGATTTCCCCTGGACTGAGGCCTAATCTCAATATTGCTCACTCTATTATACCACTTAACATAGGAGATAGAACGCAGGCATCTATGATCAAAGGCAGCTAGCCTTTTCATGTCTCCCACTCTCAATAGCCAGGCCTCACGGCCGTAAAGGAGGACGGAGCGGACTGCTGAGCAGCGCAGACGCCTTTCGGTCGACAGCCAGCCGAATATCACGTTTACACCGGAGATGGCGTAAGTTGGCGTATGCCAAAAGAGCTTTCTGTATATGCTGAGATTTCGTTAGCGATCAACCTGCTACCATTGACCGATTCAAATTTCCAAATAAGTGAAGTGGTCAACACGCTCAGCCACCATATTTCACTCCGCATCTTTAAACTACATTTTACTTTTGGTTTTATACAACGGACGGATATGGTACATGCTATGTTATGTTATTCATGGTGGGCTGCGATCACAGAGACTGCTGAATTGTGTGGATGACGAAAGTTTATTTCTTCTTGGTGAGGGGGGACAACTGCTTGAGGTTGGTGATACATGACCTGTCTCAAGTGGTCTTTGAATTTGTGTCCGTATTAAGTACGATCTTACCGCTGGCTACGCAGATCGCCGCAAAGTAGATCTGGACATGCAATTTTTGGGGTCTACCTTTGCTTCCCAGAGCTGAGAGGCAGTAGTATAGGGAGACACATTATGACGTCATCCACAGACCTACAACATAGTGTAAATTACTTATTACTGTGATGGAAACTGTTTTTAGTCAAGTCACCAGCTAGTACTGCTCGTTGGTTCGTTGGAATATAAAATCCCAGTTACCATGTCAGCGTAGCAGCTATTGGTCGGGGGTACATAGAGTAAGTTGTCTGAAAAGGAAGCAATTTCAGACATCCTAAATATTTTAATCTGTTAATAATAATAATAATAATAATAATTTGCTTTATTCCAAAACAGTACTTATGACACAGGATGGAATTCTCAGCAGTTTTACTACATTATTGCATCCAGTTAGTACATTATCAATAAATAAAATTTTACATAGATTAAGGGTTATCTCAGTTAGTTTTGACAACAACGTATTGGCATGTCGGTAGCAAAGCCAAAGTTGAACAGTGTTTGAAGGTGTTAGAAAAGTAGGTGCTGTCATATTTACTGGCGTAAGCGGAAGAAAGAAACAAAGCAGCACATAACGGAAAAGAGATAGAGAGAAAAAGGAAAAGAAAGAAAGAAAATGTTGTACCTATAAATGATATGAGTTGGAAAGACGAGGTACAGTTGTTCTACTGACTATTTAATGAATTATAGGTGTCACGCCTAATGCTTTCTTTATCACACAGAACACGAGCTAAGTAGGGTATGGTTGAGTTTTTGTACTTGCTTGTGCGAGCATATAGTTTTCTATATAGGCTTCTGGTTTTGCCTGATGAGATGCAAGGGGAGAGTTGTAAGTGAAGAGGGTGGTGTGAGTTAGAAAAAATGGATTTGGCCCATTTTTCACATGAGTTCATGTGCCTGTCGACCAGAATATTAACAAGCTGGTTAAGTGGCACGTTGCTTACCCTGCTGACAACCTTTAACATCCTGCGTAATAAGGTATAGTCTTTCTTCAGTAGCCCGGGAAAAACTAAGGGGGAACAATAGAGAATAATAGGCAGGATGTGAGAATTAAAGAATCGTAAGAGTAAGGGTTGGGTTATTCCAGAATGTCTTAACTTCTTGATGTAGAAGTTAAGACGGAATATTTTCTTAGAAATCATCAGGATATGAGGCGACCAGGAAAGATCAGCAGATTGAATGACACCTAGGTATTTAATTTCCGACTTGGTTTCTATTTCAGTGCCATCTATGTTGCACACCTTGTGAGTGCTAACCAGTTTGTTTAGATCGGATTTATGCCTAAAGGTGAAATTGACTGTTCCATCTTTATTATTTTATTCTGCTTTTATTCTGTTTCTTTACCCTTATTCACTAGGCTAAAGCACAATTCAAACGTCGAAGTACAGCGAATCAAGTGGAAATTCATATCCCAGTCCCGTCAGATGTTGATTCGCCTAGATTCAAGACAACAATGGGCAGTGCTAAATACGTACCAGAGACAAATGTTGTTATCTGGACAATACGCAGTTTCCCAGGTGGTAAAGAATACATTCTGAGAGCTAGTTTTGGTCTACCTTCCGTAGAAGGTAATCAAGATGTTGAATCAAGACCACCGATAACAGTGAAATTTGAAATACCCTACTTTACTGTTTCTGGTTTACAGGTATGTGTGGGAATGAATATGTGTGTTTATTATTGTTATTGTTTTGATGTAAAATTTAACTTGTATGTGGATGTGTGCTTCAGTTAAATGTTTATGTAGGTTAATAATAAGCCTTATCTCTTTCTTGCTATGCTGGCAAGAAAAACTTATCGTGTAGGTGGTTGTGGTTGGCTGGCTGGCTGGATTCAACATACAACTTGGCACTGAAGTACAGCAGTTCGAGTTGCCACGTTCCAAAGAGCACACAAACGTAGACACGTAGATGAGTGAAGAGAATCAATAGAGTTTTGACAAGTATAAGAGTGAAACAGAATGAGCAATGGTAGAAAGGAATATGAAAGATTACACAAGAGACTGAATACATCTGCGTAAGCCATTGACAACGATTTTGAGCCATGTCGCCTATTGTCTCCAGCCATTGATTCTTAAAGTCCCGAGGGCGGGCCCCAACCCGGAAGTCTGCATCTCCCTACCTGACTCAGTTTGACTGTCAGGGATTTCATGGATTGATGCCATGTTTTTGTTTGGCATGGCAGCGCTTACTCTTTTCCAACCTGCACCTATACCAGCTAGTAATGCCCGTCGTCGGAGGCGATGGCTAGGCATGCGCAGCACGTGACCTAGCCATCTCAATCTATGTAACTTTATAGCCTCGTCGATTGATTTTCCCTCTTTGCCCAACACTTTACGCCTAACGTCAACATTACTTACCTTATTATACCACCTAACGTGAGAAAGAGATCGTAAACATCTGTGGTCAAAAACAGACAATCTCTTCATGTCATCCGTTCTCAGTGGCCACGTCTCACCGCCATAGAGAAGGACGGAGCGAACTGCTGAGCAGTACGCACGTCCCTTGGTTGATAGCCGGATGTCACGCCTACGCCAGAGATGGTGTAAGTTAGCGAAAGCAGCTCGAGCTTTTTGGATCCGTGCTGAGATTTCGTCACCAATCAATCCATTGGTGCTGATACAACTTCCCAAATAGGTGAAGTGGTCAACATGTTCTATCACTTCACTCCCTATCACTAAGATAGGGGTAGACGTAGTCCAGTCCTGTAGCAGCATCTTACATTTCACAGGGGCGAATCGCATGCCAAACATACGAAGATTGCTGCTCAAGGTGTTCAGAAGACTGCATTTTGTCAGCATCCTCCCCTAACAGGACTATGTCGTCTGCATATTCTAAGTCCATAAGACTATTCCCTGGTAACAAGTCGATTCCTAAGACGTTAAGTTCAGTTAAGGATACTTCCATTAGCATATCTGCAGACAATGGGGGTTCCAACGGGATATTATTCTCACAGTAAGAATCAATGGATTTGTTGGTGTTAACGTCTAAATACTATTCCCATAGTTCAATAGTATACATTAGCAACAGAATAATATGTGTATTTGAACATTCTAATTAATATATGTGTAAAACTTGGACACTGTGGTGGTAGTAAGTAATTCCATATTAGTTTGTTTATTAGATGTATCACACAGTGAAACAGTATTTTTGCTTACTGGATGACAAGGTTTCAAAAAAAATTTATTGTTCATAATCATTTCATCAATTGTAATCACACGACTTCAAAACTTGAGTTTTATAGTTTTCTTTGTGCTCTCCTATTTGTCGTTGTTGGGGTAGTAGGATTTTCCAGATGTCCGGTTGGACAGGTGTTGAATCATTCCTGTTACGAATATTTGCAGAATTCTTAACAAGGCAGGGATAAAAGTGGCTGGCATTCATACCCACAAACTCAATTAGAAACAAGCTTTGTCGGTTAAAGGATAAATCCTGTGGAGCCTTTAAAACAAAACAATTTAGTTTATCTAATACCCTGCAATGATTGTCAGGTCAAATACATAGGTCAAACTAGGAGAACAGAGTCAGTCAGACCAGCCGAGCATAAAATCTAGCTGCAAAATGTAGATTAGTTGACCCGAATAAGATAAGAAATCTAGAGAGTAGTTCAGCTATAGCACTACATGCAATTACATACAACCATACAATAGGACGGATGGGATAGGATGACAGTTTTAAAATCTAATGTCACAGGGTATAGGGAGAGATTTATAACAGAAGCTTTGTTTATCGAATCAACTACAAATACATGTAATAGGAATGATTCAACACCTGTTCCGCCCGGGCTATCTAGAAAATTCTACTATCCCAACGACAACAAATAGGAGAGAACAAAGAAAACTATAAAACTCAGGTTTCGAAGTAGTTGTGTTTATAATTGATATGATTATTAACTATACTAGATTGTGTTCGAAACGTCATCCAGTAAACAATAATACTGTTCCACTGTGTGATACATCTAATAAACAAATTAACATGGTATTTAAACATTTGATTTCATGTCGTTTAATGTGAACCAAAATCACATGGTCAGTGATTGGTTAAAGAACATAAACGGTATAGATATAAATAGCTGTTCAATCACTTGAAAATATACCTTGACTTCCGTATCTTGCATGCTGCTGTTACAATCGTACTGCCCTGTTAGCATTAAGCATGGTGATTTAAAACTGAGTAATTAAAGCTAAAATAGTCAGTCTTCTGAAGTACATACAATTCGTACCTCATGTCTATTTCCAGAGATAATGCTATTTTCTTCTGGTTTTTCGAGGGTCGTTCTCTTTCTCCCTCTCTTTCTGAAAGTTCTGTTTTCCGACCCAAAGTACTTGAATAATCAACAAGTGTTGGTTTGCAGGAATTCGATTGGTTACAAGTTTTTTCATGAGTCGACACCAGTTGGAGAACCACTGGGAGCACTGGACAACTGTCTCGTCATAATTTGGGGTTCCAACCCCAGGACCTTCTGGTTACAAGGCGAGGTCGTAGACCATTCAGCCACTAAGACCCGATTCAATGGCCTATGAATCCTGACTTCTACCAATTTGTGATATATATAGCGCGCAATTGCCAGCCAAAATATAGTTGTACAAATCCTCTGAGTAACGATACCCATAGGCCTGATGTGTTAACCTTTCACACTTGAAAACTGCAAAACATTCCGTATAAAGTAATCCGCATTTATTTTTCACTTAAAAATAAGGAGCGAAGTAGATAAATAAACCTATCAACCATTCTCATTTGTGTTCTTAATTCAATTTTCCCGTTGATTAATTGGACTGAAGTGCGCTCAGTCTCTGTTGACATGTCGGCTCCTACTGAGGACGCTTCGACAATATCTGAGGAATGGTTGCTGATATCTGAAATAGTTTGTTAGATGGTGACTAACAGTGGAATTCAGGATAATAATTTCGTTCTATTTGGGACTCGTTACCTGGACGTATCTGCATTCTCCAGTGGTACAGGTACATCCAGATAGCAAGTCCCGAATTGGACGAAATGATTATTCTGAATTCCACTGCTAAGTTACCATCCACCAAACTACTGTTAACTATTCTGTTGATAAAAAAACACGTTGATTTGGTCACAATAATGATTAGTAAAGTGTTGGCACATTCTCAAAAGAATTGTTAAACGAATCTCCACCTTGCTGCTTGTAATTCATATGAAATATCTGTATTTCTGGAGAGACTACCAAGTTCATTGCACACTGCAGCATGGCCCCTATCTTAAGACATGCCCACTGTGAAGACTTGGAATATATTTAAATTTTAAATGTGTATGTAGTTATCGTCATTTATGCAGTAATATCACACCTATGTAACCTATGGCTTTGATGTGTTCTTGTAGAGGTATATGGCTCGTAGATGATATCTAATGTCAACACTTTACAATTCTACTGAATTAACTTCTTGTGAGTAGTAGGGTAAAGTAGAGGATAAAATAGTTAGATCATAAACTGACATAAGTTGGAGAGGCATTGAACGCCAGGGAGTACTGGACAGCTATTTTTATGTTATTTTGGGACTCTTCGATGCGATATACCCTTGACCACCCCTATTGAGGATCGAGCCTAGACAGTTCAGGTTATTAAACAAGCCCCCGTAAACCATTCACAGCTTGTGGAGCGGAATCCAGTGACATATGACTTCTAACTTATATCGATTCGTGGTATGTAGCGCCACTACTAGTCAGTCAGTGTCATTGAATTCTCTGTCCCATTGGCTGGCTGGATGGTCAACGGTTTGGCCTCATAACCGAAAATGTACTGAATTCTACCATCGGGGTGGGTGGGAAGGGGAATGTGCATTCCTGAAGAGTCCTGAAATAGGACAAAATGACTGTTCAATAATCTCTAGTTTACCGTGATTGTCCAGTTCATGTCAGTTCTTGATCTATGTTGAAAACGATTAAATCCATGCAAAACAACATTTGAACATAAAGTGTTTTTTTTTCTAAAATAGAACTTAAGCAATTCAAATGTTATTTTCTTTGCGATTTCGATTGATTTCATGTCTAATTTTGTCAATAACAACCAAACAACAGTTCACTTTAAAATCTGACAGTAGTTAGCGTGCACACTGTTGAAGAGTTGAAAACAAGGCCAGGAATCAATATTCATTACTTCTTGGTTTTCAGTTGGCCATCTTAACACGAAGTCTGTCATGGTGGCATTTTAATCTAAGGGAGGTGTTGAAAATTTTTGTTAATTATTGGTCATTCACTAAAAGTATCTTTTGGAATCTATGTTACGGGATTTCATCATGAGCTGACATTCGTTAGAGAACTGTTGGGAAGCCAGTGGAGAGTGCTGGACAGCTGTTTCGTCTGTCTAGTTTGGGACTCTTCAGCAGTGCACGCTCATCCCCAGTGGAGTTCGAATCAAAGACCTTCCGGTTACAAGGCGAGCTCATAGACCATTAAGCCACTGGGACCCAACTCAATGGACACTCCATGAGTTACAACTTCTGCCAATTCATGATATGGCGCAACCACTAGCCAATGGTGAGTGGTGGCGAGTATTTGTCCTCACACCCAAACTGCCATGACCCACTGGTCGTGACTTTACACCAGAACCCAGGTAACTACCCACCTGAATAGGGCCAGTCGAGAGCGGGCGCCGGACTGACATTAAAACGAAACAGCTTCCGAATACTTCCAGGTTTTCCAGTGGTTCTTTAACCGATGTCAGTTCATGATGGAATCCAGTAACCATTTAAATCCTTGGAAATCAACACTTAAAATCAATGTGTTGAGATAATCATTATTGTACAGAGTCAATCAACAGATGGACAAATAATAAGTAAGGTCTAAATATCTTGAATCGATATCTCCGACAAACCGACAACTCCAGTTATGTCGGTTTAATAATAATAATAGTGATAGCTTCATTCTGGACAGTGTTTATAAAGTGTACACAATTCTCAGCAGAAATCATTACGTAATACATTCTCTTCATCCTGTATCTTCAAGTAAAAATCGTAATTGTGATAGCAAATCACGTGATGCAATGTCATCTGACCTGAAGCTCAAATCAATCCCTTATGAAATTTCTTCCTTTGTCTCCTTCGAGAAATGCACGACATCATGTTGAAAGTCAATTTAAGAAAAAGAGTATTAATACATCTTGCGACCCAAAGACATAGTGGAATGAATGTTTAAAGACCACAGGTAGCAGTTACTTTCATTTCTCAGGCAGTGGCGATTTATACATCAAGAAAAAATCCCAGTACCATTTATCTCATATAATGGAATAGGTTGTTATCCATGATTGTGCTTTTTCTTAAGTTTTTGCTGGAAACTTGTGAATCGGCAGGCTGTAGACATTTTTTCAACACTCGCGGTGGAGTCATTGGAGGTCATATTTTAGCAGATTAAAACAATGTGAACATGAGAAATAAGCTGAAGGTGGCCAAGTTGAACTTTAAGCACCACTAACTACCAATGGCGTTAGACCGCATCAATGACCTTGAAACACTTACTGAGCAAGTTAGTGAAACCTGGCAAATAATGTTGTCATCATCAATAAAATATACTCATCGAAGTGTTATGCTATTAAATGGGATATCTGGCAAGTTTCAGCTTAGGTTTGGGAAAGATTAAGTTACGCTTTAAGCCAGGGACAAGTTAAGGTTAGGTTAACCTAATGAAGGCAACATTAGGGTTGGTCACACTGTTATACAGTAATTTTTACTGATGACGTTTCGAGCACAATTTACTGTATAACACTATGTAACTTTATCAAAATAAATTATACCCACAATGGAATTATACTCTGTTGATACTCCAACCTAAAACTGAGAGCTATTTTTATCACATACGGGAGAAAGGTATCCTCTGTAACACTTTTCTACAGTCTTTATGCATCTTCTTCATAAATATATGTATTCCATACACAAAAATGCCCCCTTTACGTGATTGGTACATTCAAGATTATTCACTGATTGGTAGTTAGTGGTGCTTCACTTTTTTAACTTTGCCCTGGAGGTTTGTGGTAGCCCGAATTCTAAACAGGCTGTCACCTAAACAACAACAATTATGCCAAAAAATTGAATAAATCAGAGATAATTTGATCAAAATTTTTGATGATAAATGAACAAATTTTGGGAAAAAACTGCGACTTAATGGAATTCGCAATAGGAGAAGTGGTTAACTCAACAACCACATGCGAATCCGTACAGTTGGTAATCAGCCATCTCTGTTGTATTGAGCTCTAGTGATACTGTCTGATTGCCTAAACCTCAGTAGGTGGAGCAACAGGTAGAATTAGCCAACTGTTTCGTCCCTATTTTGGGACTTCTTGGTCGTACGCGCACTCATGACCCTACCGGGATAGAATCCGACACCTGGTTATGAAACAAACCTGTCGGCCGTTCTGCCATCGGTACACACTATTTTATGCGCTGAAGGTATAAGGCATGTAGTTGGGCAAAAAATGGAGTAAAATGCTACTTAACAACTGTTTGCGTTCCCATGCGGTTGGCATTGAGTCACACTTATTGTGTAATAAATGTCTAATGCTTGTATCTAGTTCCCAAAATCTTGATAGATGAAATGGGTCTCGAACCCATGACCCAGTGGTTGCAAGTTAAGCGCCTAGATCAATGAGCCACAACTTCCTGAGTATGTTGTTAAACCATTCAAAACAACAAACACATAATGACTATGAGTGAACTAAAATTTGAATAACACTCATGTTTCATCATTTCCTGTCACTTAAGACAAAAGCCACAAACAATTCTTTTGATCGTGGCCCAAGTGATCTAGTGGACAACGCTTTTGTGTTTGAAATGATGGGTACTGGCTTCGAGCCTCACTGGAATTGCAGGTACATCCACTCGCTGATGAGTCCCAAATAGGACGAAATCCTTCTCCTAGCTGGATTCCACTGCTAGTCACCATTCACCAAAATTGCTTCAAGTTTAATCCGCATCAGACATCGTTGAAGCATCCGTGTAGTTATAAGCCGTCGACATGTCAACTGAGAGAGAGAGAGAAAGGCAGATAGGCAAAACACATCTTGGTCCTCCAGTTCATGAAAGACGAAAATCAAAATTCATTATATATTCCTGATTTCATTTTTTCTTTTTCTGTCACTTATATTATAGGTGCATCATTTGAAAATTATTGAAAAATCTGGTTACCATGCCTTGCCATGGGTTCGGTACATTACACAGAATGGGGATTATCAATTACGTACACTGTAAAAGGAAGGATACCAAATGAGATACTACTTGTCCATACACATACACAAACACTTTTTTTAACTGTCGGTGATAATTTTATAGTTTATTCTTTGACTACTGAACTTTTGTGAGTAATATGTTTATGCTAATCAAGTTTTATATTATTATTATTTTATCTCCTATGCATTATTCATACATATATTTTATGGAAGGATATTTTAATTCTTATCTTATGCGAATCTGTTGATTCATTTGTGGGTTTCTCTGACTTTTAAAACAAGATTTACTTCTGGTTTTTACTGTTTAATCTCAATATGTTGTTGTTTTTAAAAAGAAAACGTTTTCCGTCTTGATTTTAACTTTCCGTCTTTGATTTTTACTTCTGCTTTTATTCTATTCTCATATGAGAGTGTCTGTCTGCCTGTGTTTGGTGAAAGACGGACACCCCTTGTCCCTACAGACACACACACAACAAAATTGATAGATATCTATTGTTTCCATGGCTGTGAATCACCCCCACCCCATCGCACACCCTTTCCCTCGGTGCACAAAACACCCTCCCCCCCTGCCCTTCTCATTATTATTATCATTATTGTTATTCATGCTTAATTCTTTTACTTGAAGGTATTACATAATCTGTTACAATTCACTCTATATTCATATTCTCGCATTGACTATTACTGGCTATCAGAAGAGACGGAGGAATGCGGGGTACACTACGCATACATATATAGATGTGTGCGTGCCCACTGATCTCAATCAAACATGTGAATACCATCCAAACTGAATCTTTTTTGGGGTGTTTACCACTCATTGTTCTTGTGCTTTTTTAAAACAACCCCAGTTTAAACCTTCTGTAATTTTAATGACTTCGTTTTTTTTGTCCTTGTGATGACAAGAGAGGAGTAGTAGTAATTCATTGTTTGTTGTATAATTTTAACTCTGAAGAAAAGAAAAAACTTCTTTATCTTTCTGCCTTTTAAAGTATTTTCAGGAGGTTTGCTTTCCCTTTGTTGTGAGATGAGATGTCATTTCAAGGCGATGATTTGGGGTAATAAGGAGATCTGAAAAGGCCTTTTTTCTTAGCAAAAATATTTAACTTTTCCTATTTATGTTAGCATTCATGGTGGTTTTTGTTTGCTTCTTCTTCATATCAAAAATGTGTAATTTTTAATTAAAATATAATATCGTTTTTATTTGTCTCTAGTTGTTGTTGGAGCAGATTATATTGAGTAATGGGGAGAGTTGTCACCTGAAATGGTGTAGACCAGTGAGTGGTGTCCATCAGAGATGCTAGCACATTGCCCCTCATTTCTGTTTAATTTCATCATAGATGTACTGATGGAATTAACTCTAGCTAAATTAAGCGACTCAGGAATTGACTTGTTACCATCAGGGAATAATAGTCTCGTTGACTTGGAATATGCAGATAATGTAGTCCTTCTAGGTGAAGACTCCGGCTGATAAAATGCAGAGTCTTGTGAATACCTTGATGAGCAGAAATCTTCGAATGTTTGGCATGCGATTCGCTCCTGCCAAATGTAAGATAATGTTGCAGGACTGGACTTTATCGACTACTCCTAGCTTAAAGGTAGGCAGGAGTGAAGTGGTGGCTGAGTGTGTTGACCACCTCACTTATTTGGGGAGTTGCATCAGATAACGCCAGCGGGTTGATTGCTGACGAAATCTTAGCACGGATAACGAAGGCTCGTTTGGTATATGCCTGCCAACTTACGCCATCTCTGGCTTAGTAGACGTTATATCCAGCTGGCTGTCGACCAAAGGTCTTGTGTACTGCTCAGCAGTTTGCTCCGTCTTGTTTTGTATCTGTGAGAAATGGTCATCGTAAGTACAAGATGTGAAAATGGTACCTATCTTTGATCATAGGTGTCTGCGTTCTATCTCCCATATTAGGTTGCACAATAGGACGAGTGATATTGAGGTCAGGCGTCGAGTGTTAGGTAAGGAAGGTGGGTCAGTCGATAAGATTGTGAAGCTGCATGGGTTGAGGTGGCCAAAACGTGGGTCATGCTTGCCTAGTCATCACATTCCTCGACGAGCAAATGTTAGCTGATATAGGATCAGGCTGGAAAAGAGTTGGTGATGGTCAAACTAAAACATGCCGTAAAATCTTTATCAGGCAGTTTTAGCCACGTCGAAAGGTGTAGACTGTATGGTTGGGTTCTTCGGGATGGTAAAAACCAATGGCTGGAGGCAACTGATGGTATGGCTCAAAATTTTGTGTCAGCTGCAGCTGGCGCACTTTTGTGAGAAGTTCTGTGCTGAAACCAGTCAGGCATATTGAGTAATCTGAGCACTTGATTTTCAACTAGTGTGATATTTGGTTTTCACAATGGTGTAAATTTTGAACAGATAGACAATAATGGTAGTTAGCACATTAGAAGGAATTTTGTTTCACAGTAGAATGTAGTAGAATTTCTCCATATTTACTGACTTTTGGTGGGACCAAATTTTTCGTTGGCGAATCACAAGTCTGATTAGAAGTTGACATCAGTTAGAGAACTATTGGAAAACCTGGACAGCCGTTTCGTTCTAGCTTTTCTTCTGCGACTCTTCTCCAGTGCGCACCCACTCGGGTTCGAACCCAGGTACTTTGGATTATGTGGGGGCTAGTAGACCATCCAGTCACTGGGTCAGGCTGGAAAAGAGCTAGCGGCGGTCAAACCAAAACATGGTACCAGTCAATGAAATCTACAACAGTTAGTCTAAGCCACGTAGGAAGGTGTAGACTTCCTGACTGGTTGGGGTCCTCGGGACGGTAAAAACCAATGGTTGGAAACAATTGGTGACATGGCTCAAAATCGTTCTCAATGGCTGGCGCAGATGCATCCACTCCTCGTGACTTATGATTTCCAATTAGACTGTTTTGTTCTTCGTTATTACTATTCCTTTGTCTCACACCTCTGTTTACTGTCTTTATTATGCATTTCTCCTACTTTCTTCTCTTGCTTTGTGTGCTACATGGAGGGAGTGTGGCGGCTTGAACTGCCGCAGATATGTGCAAAGTTCTATGTCGAAAACCGACCGGACTGTTTGGTTGGGGTCCTTGGGATGTTAAGAGTCAACGGCTGGAGACTATTGGTGGTATGGCTCAAAATTGTGTGGCAACTGCAAATGGTACACTCTTGTGAGAAGTTCTGTGTTGAAAACAGTCAGGCATACTGAGTAATCTGAACACTTGAATTTCAACTAGTGTGATATTTGGTTTTCACAAGGGTGTAAGTATTGAACAGCTAGACAATAATGGTGATTAGCACACTAGAATGTAGTAGAATTTCTTCTTATTTACTGACTTTTATAGAGCCAAATTTATCATTAGCGAATCACAAGTTGACTTCAGTCAGAGAACTATTGAAAAACCTGGACAGCCGTTTCGTTTTAGCTTTTCTTCTGCGACTCTTCTTCAGTGCGCACCCACTCGGGTTCGGACCCAGGACCTATGGGTAGTGTGGTGAGCTATTAGCCCATCCAGTTACTGGGAGCCCGGCTCAATGGCCTGCCCATTCGTGATATATATAGCGCAACTGCCAGTCAGTGTCATCAGTGAGTAACTTTTCTCTCACCTGACTTGGGTGCATAGTTTTGAAGAGTCCCAAATTCGGACAAAACAACTGTCAAGTACTCCTAGTGGTTCTCTAACTGATATCAACTTGTAATCAGACTTGTAAGCAGTCAAATCCTTGCAAACCAACACTGGATAGTTAATCTGATGCTCATTAGCGGATTACGCATTTCAATGCATATAATTTACTGCAGTTTGCTTGGGTATCTCAAAATATTCATATCATACTATATGATCTGTTTGATAGCATAAATGATGATTGTTAGCAGGGCAAAAGAGCACAATACTATGCGATTGTTATAGCTATCTTACATCTTAGAGTTTAACTGAGTCGATCACTGATGACGTCAGCTATATGTAGCCGTCTCATTCTGTACTAGTTTTACTCTCAACTGTTAATCATCATATTATGGATTATTTCAATTGGAAGGCGACTGAGGGTATCACATTGCTATGCAAATTTCCCATCTTCTCTATATTGTTGATTTGTAAGACTAAGATGACATTGAAGTAATTCTGTTATGATGTCAGTTTATGCATAGTCTTACCTAATTGAATGTTTGAACAGCATGTGGAATACCTTAAGCCTAATTCTGCAGCTTATGTGATTGAAAGGTGGTCACAGGCAATCGGAAACTAACTCACTTTTAACAAACTAGCTTTGGCAAGGCTTATCGATTAACCACTATGGTGTTTGCCTGTTACTCTCCCTTACTAACTAACCTTGTTCTAACTAGAATTAACCGTCGAGCGGTGACTGATTCCTTCGTCTAGTCCTAAGCGTCAATCAAAGTGCATTAATCGGTCTTGCATTGTACTCACTAAGGTAAATGCTCTGACATTACCGTACACAATGACTTGATAGCAAACGTTTGATTTGTATTGGCGGGGAGCCGTGAACACATTTCTGACACTTGTCAGGACTGAGCTTGCAGAACATTTTTTGGGGAAACTCATGATCCCCCTTTGAAATTCATACTTGTGCTAATGAGTTCTGATGTCAGAGATTACACAGCATTATGTGAATGAATTTCTAACAAATGTTGTAACACCAGAAGACAAGAGACTCGGTAACGGAATGTCCATTTGGAATTAGATAGCTACCTCTATATAGGGAAATAATGTACACCTCATCTTCAAATCGTCATTTGCACAGATCTTCCGTGTTGTGCTGTTTCTACCCTTCGTATTGTGCATCTATGTCTTCTTTTCGTATCTTCCGTGTTTTGCCGCAATACTGATTCATTTTCCCTCTTTGACGTCAAATCTATTTCTTTTTGGCGAATTCATTCACTTAGTTGTACAGTCGCGTTCATATTAAATTATTTTGTGTGTGTGTTTACATTATGATTGTCAGACAAAATAAAAATTAGTTCGGATTATTGTTACCATCATCAAAATGTTTCAAAAATATGATGAATAATCAAATTGTAACTAG